GCTGAAAACTTTCTCCCATGAGATTAGGAGCAAGAAAAATCTTCCTGCTCTCACCATCTTTACTTTTGATGTGATAATGTACCAATAACACTGGAGGTCCTATAAAATTTAGGAGATACAACAGAGTCTTGATGGTATGCTTGATTCATTCATCCAAAATAGTTATTACTGTAAGCATCTCCTATATATGAAGTGTAGCACCAAAATCAGACCAAACAAAAGAAAAAAAAAGTCTCTGCCATTTTGTTGCCATTTTAGTAGAAAGAAGACAATGTGCAGGTATATTTTATAACCTATGCAACTTTAGGAGCTACTTAGGGTAGAACTACGGCCAGTAGAGAATTGTGAATGTTACATTTGTAAGTGGCTCAGCATCAGTGGGGCAGCCGTGATTGGGCAGAATAATAATTGAAGTAAAAAGTGGGTGGAACTCTGGATGCAAAGTGTTCCCAGGAGAGGAAAGGGCAAGTGCAAAGGCTCTGAGATAGAAAAATGATTGGCATATTCAGGCAATATCCAGGATGCCTGTTGGCTGAAGGTAATGGCTCAGTAGGAAAATGCAGCATTAAATTAAACAGGCACAGACCTTGCCTTTCTGGAGTTTATACTGTCCTATAAACTTCTGGTTTACGAGGCAAGGGAAAAATGACAATAAGCAAAATAGGAGAGTAAAATTGGTAGTTTGATGGGTGATGAGAGAGACATATAGTAACAGAAAGAATTGATGGGTGTCAGAGGGATAAATGTCAGCTCAGGTGTCACTTATATGGGTCATGGACAATGGTCAGAGGTAAGCTATGTAGATACTTGGAGAAGGTTCTACACAGAAACAAAATACAAAGACCCCCAAGTACAGGATGAATTTCTTATAGGACCTCGTGGTCACTCTTTCGATTCTATGCTTTTCAATGGGGGAAACCATTGTAGAATTTAAGCACAACAGTTGTAGTATGTGACCTGTCTCGACACGGTGACTCTGGCTGCTGTGTTGAGATTTACATGAAGAAGAGACATTGGTGAAAAGGGGCAGTGAATAGGAAGGAGGAAAGCTGAGGTGTAAGCTGGACAGCGCTACAGTAATTCAGGACAAGTGTGACACCTGCAAGGACGGTAAGTATTCAGATTCTAGAAATATTTTGAAGTTAGTAAATAATATGAATGAGTAAAGGAGTCAAGAAGGATGCCAGTATGTCGTGGGTTTGTGCAATTGGTAGGATGGAATTACAATTCGCTGAGATGGGAACGGTCCAGGAGGAGACGTTCGGGAAGATAAGATGAGACCAGTTGGGAAAATGTTAAGCTTACCATATTTGTCACATAAATATGGGGAGATAGTAATCAGGCATTGGACAAATCTTGAGTTCAGGAGAAGGTCCTGGCCAGAGATACATTTTTGAAGATAAGAAAGTCAAAGAACAAATGTACTAATTGGAATGTTTAGTAGGAAGTCTTTTCATTTTTACTAGTACATTTCTGCTGTTCATAATGATCGCATTCGTTGTGGAATTGGTGCATGTTTATAACACATTTTAGATCTTCTTACTTCCCCCTTCCCTCCCTTCTCTCACCCCTCTGTGCATCTCTGGTTCTCCTTCCCATTTGCTGAGGAGCTACTTGTGGTAAGTCATGAGCAAAGGAAAAATGTATACCCTTGGAAACACAAGAAAGAGGGGCAGTTGGGTGTGCAAGTGGAAGCTGGCCTTCAAAAACCTCCTTAAGGCAGAGTGTGTGTGACTGGTACCCTTGGTAAATAGTATAGAGGGCTTTTGGAAGGGTTCTTCTTTGTGTGACTCAGTGAAATGGTCAACAGCTGAATATGGGGAGAGGAAAGATATGTTTGTTTTATATAGAGAGATGAAGGTACAAAACAGTCATAAAGAAAGCAAGATAATGTTGAGTAGGAAAATACAGTAGGATTCTGTGGCAAAATAAAAGGTGCACTTGGACTTTATGGCATACATTTCAAGTCAAGAGTCAAGAGTAGGATTTTTCTTCTGCTACATTCAGCCCCAAGAGAAGTTGAAGTGTTGGAACCAATCAAGATTAGGGTTTCTCACCAAATTAGAAAGGTGCGAGAAAAATCAAAACATGACTTGAAGATACATAACGGAGAGAAATTATGGCCATGAAACATATATAAAGGGAAATGAGGACATGAGAAAGAAAAGGAATGTTGGAATATCTGGCAAAATCAATGTATGGATTATAGATTCCAGTCAGGGAAGCATGGCTGCAGCAGGGTACTGATGACTCAATCTTTGAAACATATTTTACGGACGGTTTTAGCAGTGGGCATGTCAAAGTCTAGGGGATGTCTGTGGGTATGAGTTGAGGCAAAGATCTGGGGAAAAGAGAATGTTAAATAAAACTAAGAAGACAATGTATTAGAAGATCTCTCTTCGAGGTCACTGAAATCACCAATAATGGTCAAAGGAGCAGTGTTTTTAGAGGTAGGCTTTGAACCAAGTGTTAAAGCTGTCATTCAATTAGTGGGAGGGGTTTAGGGGTTGATAGGTGATTCCAGCAGGCAGAAGGATAAGGAATTTAAGGATTGGGTGGGGGGAAGTGTGAAAGGTTTGGGTGTGAGATTCTCAGTGAATTCTCAGGGAAGAGACTGGGGAAATGGACATCAAGTATCGAAGTGAAACAATTGGAAAAAAATGTCTATGCCATCCGGAGAAGGGTGTGGATGATGGAGTCCCATTTGTCACAGCTGCGGGATAGGCAGTGTCTTCAGGGAGGAGCAAGTTTAAGATCAGCAAAATGAATGAGAAAAATTCTGCAAGAGGATGAAGGTAAAGCGAGGTTTATTTATGATTAGTCGTTAAGGAGATGGGGGAGAAAGGCAGGAATACACAGCCAAGAGGGAATTAGAGATTTTTAACCATCAGGGCCTCCTGACTTTCTTGGATAATATGAGTGGGTCACTTGCAATAATGAATTTAGCATAGTGATGGGAAGCACTGAGTGCAGCAGGCAGGGAGACACGGGGATTTTTTTCCCAGGTTGTGTAGCTCTCTGGAGCTACCCTGGACCACAGCCAAGGGAGCCGTGATGGGCAGGCAGTGACAGCTTTGCTGTGTGACCCTGAACACCCCCACCTGAGCCACATCACCTGAGAACCCTGGGACAGAAAATTGTCCTGAGAAACTGCTGAGCTAAGCACATGGGTCGAATGTTTCATTTTTATTAAATGGACGTGAATTGCCTGGCCTAAAATTTATAATATACAAATGTTATACAGTGAATCTAGTTAGGTACTGCATGTATCAGTACAATGTAAGACACTTTCCATGAATCGTAGCCTTCGCTCAAGTAACTTCCCTCAGGGTATAACTGTGGATGTGGAAGTTCAGAAAGGTTAGAGTTCATCAAGTTCACACTTTTAGCAAATAGCAGAGACTGAGTGGCATCAAGGTATCAGATTTCAGAGACCAAGATATCTCATCAAATCTGTGGTTATCTATGAAGTAAATACTATTAGACTTTTAGGGAAATTTTGCAATTCTATTGAGCCAAGGCTATCAACTTAATACCAACGTAATATCGACTTGGAAAGACCGGTTGTAAAATCTTTCTTCCGACCACGCTGATTTTTCCACAAACCATACCAGAAGAGCTGTAAAATTACTCAAAGAACAAGAAAGAAAGGAGAGGAAAATGCTCTTTGGTGTCTGAGAACATTATGAAATTGAATCATTGGCCACTCCAGGAATTCTAAAGGCTTCAGTTTATTTGTACCATTTTCTTTATTCTGTGCATATAATTGTCTGAAACAAGCAAATGTGCCCCATGGAATGACTATTTGTGGAAACCTTTAGCATGAGAACACCCACATCGTCTTTGCACTCAAATGAGAGTCCACAAAAATGATGGAAAATGTTTTGCATCTTTCCTATAATGGTCTTAAAATGTAGCAGTACATAAAAGTTAACTTGTTACAAAAACTGTATCTTAGTTGTACTGAATCAGAATATGCAGAGTATGGGGCTCGACTGATATTTTGATAAAGCTGTACCAACAATTGTGCAGCAGGAGTGATAAGCAATATATTTTTCTATATGCATCGGTATTTCTAGCTGTCTGATTATCTATACACACACACACACACACACACACACACACACACATACACAAGGGGGGGAGACAGCGAGAGAGAGAAGGGTTTTATCTTATTTACATTAGAACCTTTCCAAAACAGCACCATGCTGATATAGTAGGAAGTAAAAAATATTTGACTTAATCATACTTTATGTCTATTTTAAAAACTTACAACTGCATCAAGCTCTTCCCTTTTCTAAAATCAACATGACATTTGATTAAAAAAATCTGTGACCATGCTTTCTTAGGGTTTCTGTCATGCATAGTTGTTGATTTTGTCATTTAGCAGGCCCAGACTGTAATTAATGGACAACTTACTATTCCACATGGGACATCCAGTATGGACGTCATATTAGAACCCTATCCAGGTCCCAAGCAAAAAGCATGTATTTTATCTTGTAATAGCAATGTAAACTATAGACATATTTTTAAAATTATTATTTTGGGGGGGAATTTATGAGACAGGGTCTCACTACGTAGTTGAGACTGACCTGGAACTCACTGTGTAGCCCAGGCTGGCCTTGAACTCACAGCGATCCTCCTGCCTCAGCCTCCCAAGTGCTGGGATTACAGGTGTGTACCACCACACCCGGCTTTAAAAATTATTTTGGATTCTCTTATTTGTAAGGTTTTCAGAATGCTTGCATGACATTTTGTATTTATATAGCTAAAGAAAAAAGTTGGATAAAACCCACTTAATTGAATAAAACATGCTAGTCATTTTTTAGGAACAGGGACATGAAAAATATCATTAATATGAAATGATGTACATGTTCTGAGAAATTATTAATATAAACATTAAACTATGCAAGTTTATAGTAAACTAGAAACAGCTAGATAGTTTTCTTTTATTTACCTGGGCTGATGACACAACATGGTGGTTAATCATCACTAGATTGATTTTTTTAAGAAGCCCTCTAACTCTTTGAAGACAGACTTTGACAACAGACAGAAGCTGGAGTTATTGCTGTTGTCAGCTTCAACATTAAGGTAAGAACTCTTGACACTATCTAATTTCAATGTATTTTTTGTGTAATCAATTTCTACACATTGCAAAGAAAAAATTTTCTAAAGGTCATGATGCATATTATAAATTTTATGCTCTGTGCCTTCTGTACACTCATGTTCTACGCACTCAAGACCTGTGCCTTCTGGGGATAGCTATGCTTCAGGTTCAAGTAGTCTTAAATTGTAGAAGGTCATACACTTAGAATTTAAGAAAAAAGTTTGAAGTTCTGTTTCTACTCTCGTTTAAGCCTGTAAAGATGAATGTCAGGTTACCTTTCTGAGTTTGCTACAGGACAGTAAGTTTCACCAACTCCATGGAATCATTAGAGTATCATAGTTCTTTCTTAACTGAATAACAGAGGGCAGGAGTTGGTAGTTAAGCACAGAGAAATAGAATGTGCGCCCAAATCACGTAGCTACCTCTTCTTTCCCAATTTCGATGATGTTTGACTCCGTTGAGAAATAAAAAAGAATATTTTCTGAACAGTTTTCTCTCCAATTAAATGAGGAAAAACCTCTGTTCAGGACAGTTCCTGGCTCAAACTGAGGACACCAGAAATATAATTTTCCTTTCCCAAATGAAGAAAGTGGCTATGCTGATAAGATGTTATTGTCAAAATCGTGTGAGGATAGGGAGGCCCCCTGTGAAGGTCTAAGTTAAGTAAGTGCGATTTTCCCCCTCACCTGCATAGGTGCAAGCTAGCAACAAGCCACATGGGGACACTGCTTTTCTGTCACTCCTGAAATATTGAAAGCTTGACACAGGTAAGTAGAGCCTGGTAAGATTCTGCACAGACTCCACCCTAATCAAGACAGGAAGGACTGGGCACTTCTTTTCAGGGAAGAGTTGCCGGGGTAGACCCCAGTGCCTCTGGCCTTGTCTCACACATGTGCTGTGTCCCAAATCTTACCACCATGTCAGTCATTTTGAACTCTGAGAAAAAGAAAATATGTTCAGAGGCAAAGAGGTTAAAGGCTTCTGAATTACACCAAAACTGTCCCAGGAAAGCACAAAGTACGACAGTCATTCAACCTTTACTGATTCTCTCACCTTCTATGTCCTTTGTTATTTCTTATTACTTTCTACAGCTGGACAACAGATGTTCGTGGTTCCAATTTTGGGATGAATATTTTATCCCAGGATACAGGAGCAAAGTGTGGACTAGTAGTCTGGTCAAGGAGGGGCAACGTAGAGAAAAGTAATATGCAGATAGGTATTTTCTTCGATGGAACACCAGTAGGGGCGAGGTTAATTCAAGTGGGCTTACTGGGAGAATCTCGAAGAAGCAAGATTTGTGTTCTGATATAGTCAGAACACAAAGAAGAACATCACAGCTTGTGGAGAAACATTCCAGAGGGTAGAGAGCTTTCTTCTTGGTACAGTGACTCCGTGTCTACAGATGCTTATGATCGTATTTAAAAAATGAAATTAAAACGAGAGCTGGGCTTAGGTTATGGAGACCTTCCAATAGGAAGGATGAATGTGTGTGTGATACAAGGACCCTTTTAAAGAATCTGAGGGTAGCTATGATATGCATAGGTTAGACAAGAGGCCAAGAGAAGAACAACTAGAAGTTAATGCACTGAAATATAAACTGTGTTAGCAGTGGTGAAACAATAGTCTTCAAGCTTTCAGGAATGTTTGCTTTAGTAGAAATGAACAGTATAGAGGTTAAAAGAGTCTAAAGGTAAAGGAGGACTATCCTCCTTGTAAGTCATTCAGAGATTTGCGAATTTAGGATGAAGATGGTAAAAAGTGATTTCTTGGTCCTGGGATAAATTATACCAGAAGACTTATTCGTGGGAAAAATTACAGGCAATGTATCAAAAGGCTGCATATGAAGTGGAAACTGTGAAAGTAGTGATTTCATGTTCACTTGCCTCCCCCGGGACCTGAACATAACCAGGCATAGGCATCCAGGCAAAACATGAAATCACTGGGGCTCATTGAGTCATACATTAGACATACATCTATCCGTGTGTTTTGATGCACTCTCGTGCAAATGTGGTGATATCCTCTAGTATTCTAAATTTTGTTATTTATCCATCATCTACTGAATATGCATTATGTATTTATGCTCTTTAAATTTTTAAAATAGAGAGAAACAACACATCTTTTTCCAGTAATTAATACGTCAATGGTAGAGTCGATCCTCACTCACAAATATTGTATTAGCAAATCCGCATGCTTACTGAAATAATGTTTGCAATGGTGAAACAAGTACTGTCGCTCTTTCTTGGGAATTGGCACACACAAACACAGTGGCGGCAAGTTCCAGCTGTCAGGATTGCAGCAGAGGTTATACGAGGTGACCCTGTAACTCCTGTGTCAATACACACAATGTAAAAACTTTTCCTTTTCATGGTGTGTCCTATGACATAACATTTGTACTTTCTGGGCTTTGTACATCTGAGTGCACTCTTTAAAATGGGCTGCAGAGCCAGGCAGTGTTCTTTCACGTGACAGTGCTTGATGGGAAAAAAGAAAACAAATACATATGTTATGTAACTTTTCACTGGGTTCAATTTATAGTACCATAGCTACTAATGCAGTGTTAGCAAATGAACAGCGTTTTTTTTTTTTTTTTTTTTTTTT